GAAGATGAAATTAACTACTCAGGTGACATAACTGATGAGTGAGAGTTTGAACCCAGGTCTGTCAGACAGTAAAGTCAACACTACTTATATAAGCAAGTACAGTAGTTAGTTAATTTGCAATAGATAAAGATTGCTCCTCAAAGTTCAGATTGGCTTAGCATTGTTTACCTTGGTGACCAATATTCTGTGTAAGTGAATCTCACCATCTGAGTCTTAGGCAGTATTTGAAGAATAGATCATAAGTCTTTCTGCTAAGATGCATTGGCAATTTAAAGTTCTTACTCTTCTTTTGCCAAATATTTTGCTTCAATTGAGAGGAATTTCATAACTATATTATTTCAAAACAATTCATGTAAGATAGTAACCAAGTAAGAGACTTTTAAAAATCTTTTTTTAAGTGCTTTCTTCTCATAAAGTAATTTAGGAACATGCCAATAGATTTTTTCTTATTGGGTTATTTTATTGTATTATCAACACTGTAAGTAAAATGTAAGTTTAACCTTTACTAAAAGACAAAGGCTGCTGAGATAAACTGGATCTCCTGAGTTTGGAATCTTTCCAAAAATACCTTCTATCTTAAGAATGCTTTGTATTAGGAAACAGGGTATACTGGGAGAGTCAAACTGGTTGGGTTTGAATCTCTGTTCTACTATATACTACATGACATAAACTTACTTAACCTCTCTTCCCTCAATTTCCTTGCCTATAAAATGGATTGTTGTGAGGGCTAAAGTTAATAGATATACAATATTTAGAACTTTGCAGGCATGTGTAAATTCTATGAAAACTTTACTATTCCTTTGGAGACAGAGTTTATTAACTAATTTTGTTTAGATCATTAAATCTGCATTTCTCCCTTTATTGTTTCTCCCTATAAAAATAAAATTAGTTACTCTCCTGATAATTTTTAGCAAATCAATCACTCTGTGACAGAAGCATACAACACTCCACAACTTTTGCTTGTGAAACAAACTAGAATATCCTACAGATCTCATCTTGCTAGTACAACTGGTTTAGCCTATCAGAAATAAATGCAATTAGATGACAATTGCATGGGACAGAAGAACTATAATTAAATAGAAAAGAGCACACAAGGATGTTTTATTTCATGAGAAAAATAAATTTCAAACCTTGAAATAAAATATTATACACAAAGAAAAAAATTAGGAAGATATTTAAATACACATGGGGCCTTCTAACCTGTAAGAAACAGTGATGTATAGAAAATTGTTGGGGCCTCCCTGGTGGCCCAAGGGGTTAAGGCGCAGCACTAGGAAGCTATCTGCAGCCACTATAGCATAAGTTTGATCCCTGGCCAGGGAGGTGACCCACATGGCACAGCAGACCTCTCCTGTTGTGCCTGCTACTCCTCTCAGCAGTGCATTTTGGTTACCCTGCCTTTTCTGTTCCCCATTCTGTCTCTGGTGAATCCTCTCACCCCCCACACCTCTGGCCTGTGACACAGTTCTTGTATGCATAAATAAATAAATCTTTAAAAAAGAAAAAAAGGAAAGTGTTAGTATTATTTTTAGTAATAAATGCTTCTAAAATACCCAGAATAAAATGTATCAGGATGTAGATGAATACAAACCAAAGTTTTCAGAGTCTAGTTTATATGACAATATATATTTTAAGCTCAGAATTAGTTTTTTTTTTTAAATGACATTATCATGAACGAATTACAAATTAACAAAGACTGTGAAGAAGATGAGCCCTTCACTCAGTGTAGTAATAACGTGGTTCAAAAACCATATCAGATGACACTTAAGCTTTTATTTCATTGTGGATAGAAAAACAGAGAAGTGCTACTGATGGAAACTTAAAAGTTGAAAAATTTAAGATGGAAGGGCTCACAAGGACATACACCAGAGGTGTCGATAGGGACCATTAATAAATCTTAACTAAACCAGCTCTGGAATGTTCCAGGAATCTAAGGTGGGGTCAGAAAAGATGATCAGTCAGAGGTGGAGGAGAGAGGATTATCAACCTTAGAACACCAACACAACCTGACCCCAAGGCAATCATTTCCACAATAAGTCCATCCAAGAACACTATAAAAGAACACCCTTTGCTCCGGGCAAAATGCAGCTCCCTTGCTTGTGTCTCTTCAGGTTCTCGCTTTCCTTTTTTTCCTTTCCTCAATAACCTTGCTTGTGCTGGTGAATGGAAATGTCTGCTCAATTCTTTCTCAGGGGGACTCAAGAACCCCAAGCACTGAACCACATCTTCTGAACCCCAGTATCACCTTAAATGTGAAGAATCATGAAACAGCCTTTGTGTGGCATAAGGAAATAGTCACAAATAGCGGAGTCTCTTTCTGTATTAAGTTCTTCCCTAAATTCAGTTGCTCAGTTTAAACTTACTTTGAGATCTTTTGGGTTTGGGACCCATTATTAATAGTCATCACAGAATGGAAAATAATGAGCAAAATTATTTGAACAGACTGTTAAGATGACAAAGCAAGTGAATGACTTTCCTGTCCAGTTATTTCTTTTCCTTTAGTCCTAGAAGGATATCAAAGGAAAAAATGTTCCAGGAGCACATTGTTCTCATTCTTTGGATACAAAGTTAAAAATGGTATAGTCCTTGACACAAGTTCAGGGTTGCCTGTGGAAGATACATGAAAAAACAGGTCATTGTAATGCACTGTTCTTAAGTGTTGATAAAGAAGTATGAGGAGAATTGTTTGGGAGTTAGAAATGATTACTTTAATTTGGGAATGTCTAGAAAGACTTTGTGGAGAAGTTCCAGGTCCTGAAGAAAGAGTAAGAGATTACTAGGTAAAGAGTCAAAGGAAAGCAGGATGTCTTCGGTGGTTATTTGTTCAGTTCTTCGCTCAAATTTCATCTCTTCTGAGAAGCCCTTTCTATCACTACAGCACCCATGTTAAATCTATGCTATCTCCCACACTGTACTGTGTATTTATTTACTTTTATTGACTCCTTTACATATGAGTAGAGCCTCCATGAGAATGGGGACTTGGTTTTATTTACTGTTTCTCCATCACTTGAAACAGCACCTATTAAGTAATAGACACTCAATGAATGTTTGTTAAATGATAAGTGTGCTGAGTCTGCTTGTCAGCTGATCCAACAGTGGGAACCAGAAGAGGATGTTTACTAGGATCTTGGGGGTAATTTGGCTCAGTGTGGAGCAGCACTGTCCCTAATATTAATAATGATGAGGCTCAGCGGCAAATCAAGAAAGACATACAATTTTGAATCTGGTTCCTGGTTCTCTTTCATTCTTTTGTAGAGATCTAATAATGTGCCTTTTGGAAAAGTTTTGAATTGCTGAACATTAAGGCAACTACTTTCCTTCTGTTCCTTGTTTAGAAGAGTGTTTTCTGTCTTCTTTTTGCCTGACCACTAAGACAGTGTATATTTGCACACAGGTGTACACACTCATGCACACAATGTTGACATTGTCCAAACTGAAAAGACAGAAAATACAGAAGAGTATACAAGAGCTGTGGTATTGTTGGGGGAAAGGATGTCCTGAGCTAAATCCATACAAGCTTTGTGGACTCCACCCCCACTCCAGAACAAAGCCATCAAGACATTGGGAATGACAAATCCCATCACCACCAAAGGGAGGGTTGCTGGGACCTGAGGGTGGAGTTAAGCAGCCAGGTTTGGTATAAAACCAGACACGTGGGCCTTGGGGGGCTCTCTCTTGGCTCCACAGCTCTTGGCTCACTGCCAGCTCTCAGAGTGCCATTTGGGATTTCATGTCAGCAGAACTGGCAGGACGCATTTAAGACTTTATCTCCCTCTTTTCTCCCTGAGTTGTACATTTCCTCATTTCCTCTTCCCTTGTAAATAAACCTTTTATTAACCTTTTGTGTGTGCGTGCAGTTGAGTATTAATAAGTCCCTTTTAAGCGCGGGTGAGGATCCACAGCCAGGCAACCCGTTTTATATCAGGGCTGCCCAGTAACAGTATCAAACAATCTAATATATATGAAACTGAAAGACCAGGGAAAAAAGAAGAAAGATCAAAGAGGACTGTTTGAAAAATTAACAGCAAAAAATTTTCCAAAATTAATGAATGATAAGACATAGGCCTAAGAAACCCAGGAAAGCTACAAACAGGTTTATTTATTTTGAGGGAAAAAAAAGGAAAAATAAAATATCTACTATTATTCCTTATAATACCTTAATCCTTCCTCTCACCTACCAGCCTCTTAAACCACTGATAATCTCATTTCTGTTGTCAATGTCCACTAGTTTATTTTTATTTTTCAGTTCATTGCTTTGTTTTCTGATATTACTCATATATGTGAAATCACTCATATTGTCTTTATCTTCCTACTTTCAAATAATCACCTCAAGTTTTTTCCATTTTGCTGAAAATGGCAAATTTTCATCTTTCCTTATAGCTGAAAGTATTCCATTATGTGTATGTATCACATCTTCTTTACCCATCATTCCATTAGTAGGCACTGAGGTTGCTTCCATATCCTAGATATTGTAAATAATTCTGCCTAAATTTTGTGCAGCATAAAATTCCTCAAGTTGATGGTTTCATATTCTTTTAATAGATACTCAAAAGTGGGATGACTGGATCTTATGGTATTTCTAGTTTTTTGTTTGGGCCAGAGGTGTGGAGGGGTGAGAGTGCTACAGGGCAGGGAGAGGGGCACCCCAGAGTCCGCAAACCTGCCTGCTCTAAATAGGTTCTGCCATCCGCCGCATCAACAGAAAACATACGAGACTTTAATGAGAAGGAACTTCAATGCAATTAGTAAACAATACAGGAAAGGCAAAGAATACAGTTTCTAAATCAAGCACCCAAAGTTACCCGTTCCCTCGTGGGTAAAAGTCCACCCAAGCAGGGTTGGCCCAGAGCAAGGCCCCAAAGCCTGCCACAAGTCTAAAGCATCTTCCAGTGGGGACCCACAGAAAAGGATCAGCAACAACCAGACAAGTCTGGAAGGAAAAGAGCAAAATCAAAATAAAGACAAAAACCACCATTGTCACATCCCCATGTGTCTCTCACCCACATCTGTGTCACCAGTCCACGACCAAAAAGCCAGCGCAGTTTCTTCACGTGTCTCTCGGCTCCATGCGCCTCCTCCAGGTCTCCTTCTGGCTCCATCCTGCTTCCTTCCTTCCTCAGTCTCCTCTGAAGCTTCTGCTCTCTCTGCTCAGCTCCACTCTCCCTTGGGTGGGGCAGGAAACCTGGAATCTCCCCCTTTCCTGGGGACCACCCTGTTACAAGAGGATTCACCAGAGTGAGGAGCAGAACAGGTTGATGCACTGAAATACACAGCTAAGGGGAGCAGTGAGCTAGATAGGAGAGGTCTGCTACCCCATGTGGGTCAGCTCCCTGGCCAGGGATCGAACTCAGGCCTCAGCAGTGATAGTGCTGAGACTTAATTCCTAGGCCACCAGGACAGCCCTCTAGTTTTAGTTTTTTAAGCAAGGCCCAAACATCTTTCCAAAATGGCAGCACCAGCTTATATTCCCACCATCAGTTGCTTCCCCTTTCTCAATATGTTCACCAATACTTGTTGTTAGGAATCTTTTTGATGTACAGTTCTTACAGGTGTGAGATGATATGTCACTGTGATTTTAATTTGCATTTCCCATGTTAGAAATGGTCATGAGTGGGCCTCGCCGGTGGCGCAGCGGTTGAGCGCTGGGTTGCTAAGCTGCCTGCAGCCTCTGCAGCGCCAGTTCAATCCCTGACTGCTCCCCGGCCACTGGAGGAGGGTCCCGCATGGTGCGCAGACCTCTCCTGCCGCCCGCTCCTCCCCTCAGCAGTGTACTTTGGTCCTTCTGCCTGCTCTGCTCTCCGCTCTGGCTCTGGCTCTGGTGAATTCTCTCACCCTCCCGAGCTTCTGACTACCTACCCAGTACTTGTATAAATAAATAAATAAATCTTTAAAAAAAAAAAAAAAGAAAAAGAAATGGTCATGAGCATTTTTTTCATATCTGCCAACTGTATATCCTCTTTAGAGAAATGTTATTCAGATCTTCTGCTCATTTTCTTTTTTAAAAGATTTATTTAATTTATGTATGCATACAAGAACTGGGGTCTAGGCCAGAGGTGCGGGGCAGGGGTTGAGGGGTGAAAGGATTCACCAGAGACAGAGTGGGGAGCAGAACAGGCTGATCTACTGAAATACACTGCTGAGGGGAGCAGCGGGTGAGACGGGAGAGGTCTGCTGTGCCAAGTGGGTTAGCTCCCTGGCTGGAGATCTAACTAGTGCTGCAGTGGCTGGCACTGGTGATAGCTTGATAGCTCTGCGACTTTAACCCCTGTGCCACCAGGGAGGCCTTCTTCTGCTCATTTTTTAAACAGTTTATTTGTTGTAGTTGTTAAGTTGGATGAGTCCTTTGTATGCTTTGGATGTCAATCCCTCATCAGTTGTGTGATGTGTGAATCTTTTAATCTACTGACCTTTTTTCCACTGTATAAAAGCTTTTTAGTTTGATGTCATTTCAATTGTTTATTTTTGCCCTTATCTCCCTTGCCATTTCTTCTCTTATGTTTTGACAACTTTCTTTTATGTTTTGTTTGGGTTTCATTTTCATTGTTTTATGAATTTCTCCTGGATTTTTATTTTGAGGTTACATTGAGGTTTATGTATGATGGTCTATACTTGTGACCTATTGAAGAGTTTGATCTCAAATTAATTCTGATGGTTTACATTTTTACTCTCCTTTCCCTCCATGTTATGTGAGTTTTGCATCTGTTACTTCTAAATAAAATTTCTTGTTATTTTATACTAGTTCTGTTAGGGGGAAATAATGTCCTGAGCTAATCCCATACAGGCTTTGTGGACTCCACTCCCAGTCCAGACTAAAGCCATCAAGCCATTGGGGAAGACAAATCCCATCACCACCAAAGGGAGGGTGGCTGGGACCTGAGGGTGGAGTTAAGCAACCAGGTTGGATATAAAAACCAAACACTTGGGCTGGCTCACTATCGCTCGCCTCCTGGCTTCAAGGCTCCTGGCTTGCAGCCAGCTCTCAGAGTGCCATTTTGGATTCCAGATCGGCGGATCGGGTAGGACGCATTTAAAACTTTGTCTCCCACTTTTCTCCCTGAGCTGTACATTTCCTCATTTCCCCTTCCCTTGTAAATAAACCTTTTATTAACCTTTCGCGTGCGCCTGCAGTAGAGCATTGATAAGTCCTTTTAAGCACGTGGGTGAGGACCCACAGTCAGGCATTCCGTTTTGTATCGGGGCTGCTCTTTAACAGTTCCTTTAGTATTTCCTTCAAAATTGGTTTAAGGTGATGAATTATTTTAGTTTTTGTTTTTCTGTAAAACTCTTTATGGTTCTGAATGATAGGCTGGGCAGAAAATGTATTCTGAGTTTGAAAATCCTAACTTCTTTGAGAACCTGAAATATTTCCTGTCATTAACCTTGCATGGTTTCCACTGAGAAGTTCACAGAAAATCTTATAGGTATTCACTTGAATATAATAATTTTTTTCCTCTGGATTCTTTCAGTATCTTTTTGGTGTCTCTAGTTTTTTTTTTTAGCAGTTTATGTATATATATATATGCCTTGGGCTGTCTGAATTTTTTATTTGGAACTCTTTGGGACTCTTGGATTAAAATATCTATTTGTTTCTTCAATTAGGGAGAGTCTCTGCTATTATTTCTTTATTTTAAAGATTTATTTATTTATGCATACAAGTGCTGGGGTACAGGCCACAGGTGCAGGGGTGTGGAGGGTGAGAGGATTCACCAGAGACAGAGTAGGGAGCAGAGCAGGCGGATTGACTAAAATACACTGCTGAGGGGAACAGCAGGCAAGATAGGAGAAGTCTGCTGTGCCACGTGGGTCAAATCCCTGGCTGGGATCCAATTAATGCTGAAGTGGCTGTAGATAGCTTCATAGTGCTGAGACTTAACCCCTTATGTCAACAGGGAGGCCCATTGCTATTATTTCTTTAAATAAAATTTCTAGCCCTTTCCCTCTCTCATTGAGACAGGGCAAGCTAGGGTTATTAGGCAGTTTTAGGGATAGTGCAGGAGGGGACCTCTGAAAAATTTAGGGAGGCTTCAGAGATAAGGACAAGCAAGGGAAAGTAACCCATTCCATTAGGAAAAACAAACATGCCAGGACCAAGGACAACATTGTTAATGCTGGTCCTGGTTTCCTTCAGGTGGTAAAGGGAGGCAGAGATTGGAGAAATGGAGAATGGTTTAATTTATGGTCACATTAGAAGGGCAGCTGTTTAACTTCAATGCAGGGATGCCCATCCAAAAGACTGGGCCATAAATTTAAAGATGCAACAAATGGGGAAAGAGAAAGCTGTTAGATAAGGAATGTGAAGATCCCCACTCAGTAGCAAATTAAATGAAACAGCCGAGAACTGACCAATCACAAAGAGACTGGGGCAGCTTTAGAATAATGAGGGAAAAAGGTCTATATTCCCTAAGACACGACTCTGCTTTGGCTTCCTTGCCCCTCCCAGGCCTGGTTCCCTGGCCTGGGAGTCCCACTTTATTTCTGCTCTTTTTCTCCTCAATAAACTTTCTTCTAAACAAACCTGCCTCTTCTCGCTTGCTTGCCTGAGCGTCTGCAAAGTTCCTGCTGCGGCTTCATGAGACACCAACCCGTGGGGGTTCTAGCGGCTGGGGCTCAGCGCTGCCCTGCAGCCTGAAATCCGATCCCGGCTGGGAGACTAGACCTGACAATTCCGGCATCATCATGTCCTTCTTAGATCCGCGTAATGTATTGTTTCTCTTTATCTTATCCCAAGGGAGCTCTTACACTGCTTTCATTCCTTTACATTTTCTTTTCTCTTTATGTGTTTTCCACTACTGTGTGTTCAAGCTCGCAGATCCTGTCAGCTGCTTCTATTAGTCTATCATTGAGTCCCTGTATTTTAAAATTGTTATAGGGCAGCCCTGATAAAAACGGGATACCTGACTGTGGGTCCTCACCCGCACGCTTAAAAGGGCTTATCAATGCTCTACTGCAGGCACACAGGAAAGGTTAATAAAAGGTTTATTTACAAGGGAAGGGCAAATGAGGAAATGTACAGCTCAGGGAGAAAAGTGGGAGATAAAGTTTTAAGTGAGTCCTACCCCATCCTCCGATCAGGAATCCCAAAATGGCACTCTGAGAGCTGGCCGCAAGCCAGGAGCCTTGAAGCCAGGAGGCAAGCGATAGCGAGCCCCCCAAGGCCCACGTGTTCGGTTTTTATATCCAACCTGGCTGCCCAACTCCACCCTCAGGTCCCAGCCACCCTCCCTTTGGTGGTGATGGGATTTGTCTTCCCCAATGTCTTGATGGCTTTAGTCTGGAGTGGGGGTGGGGTCCAAAAAGCCTGTATAGGATTAGCTCAGGACATCATTTCCCCCTAACAAAATCACTTATGGAAATTTTTAAGTCAATTTTTCTGTTTGAAGCTTTCTCATTTTTTCTCTATCCTTGTAATCCTGCTTATGTTTGTCGATTGTTTTTCTTATTTCAATATAGTTATGACTGGTGTTTTCAGCTCTTCAGCAAGTAAATTACAGTTTCACAATGTTCTCAGAGGTTTTTTGTTCCATCATTTGTGGTATATTCCTGTCTCTTCATTTTTACTTTTTATGCATTAATATAAAGAATTTCTTATCCTTGATTTGGTATACTGGTCTTATATTGAAATAACTGGTTGCGGGATATAATCCAAGGGTTGTTTGCTTGGGATCCCAGAGTGCTTGTGGCTTTCTAGATTGATCCTCTGCACCTGCTTGTGTTATAGGGCAGCCCAAACCCTGCAAACCTGCCTATTCTAAATGGGTTCTGCCATCCGCTGCATCAACACAAAACATATGAGACTTTAATGGGAAGGAACTTTAATACAATTAGGAAACAATACAGGAAAGACAAAGAATATAGTTTCTAAATCAAGCACCCAAAGTTACTCGTCCCCTCGTGAGTAAAACTCCATCCAAATGGGATTGGCCCAAAGCCTGCCACAAGTCTAAAGCACCTTCCAGTGGGGACCCACAGAAAAGGGTCAGAAACAACCAGACAAGCCCGGAAGGAAAAGAGCAAAATCAACATCAAGATAAAAGCTGCCATTGTCACCTCCCCAAGGGTCTCACCCACATCTGTGTCACCCAGTCCATGACCAAAAGACAAGCGCAGTTTCTTCATGTGTCTCTAGGCTCCATGTGCCTCCTCCAGGTCTCCTTCTGGCTCCATCCTGCTTCCTCCTTCTCAGTCTCCTCTGCAGCTTCTCCTCTCCCTACT